GTAGTACTGGATACGCTTAGGGAAGTGAGGAGATTTACAATCACAAGGAAGAGAGAGAGAGGAGGAGAGAGGGAGAAGAGTGTGTGATGTGTGTATAGTACCAACACTGACAGTATGTTCTTTAATGGTTTATTGCTGAGTATGATGCTCAAATGATCACGTCCTATTCCATGGAGCCTATACATACACCTTATATAGGAAAAGGGCCTTTGCACATATAAATTAAGGGTTATGAAATGGGAAGATCATCCTCTATTGATCAGGTGGGCCCTAAATGGGCCTGTCTTTGTTAAACGTCTGTCTATGTCTATCTTATAAGGACAATCGTAATGTCCTTATAAGATGGACAAAGACAGACATTTTAACAAAGCCTGCAGAAGAGAAGACAATTTGAAGACAGTGGCAGAGACTGAAGTGATGTGGACTCAAGCCAAAGAAAGCTGAAGCTACCAAAAGTTAGAAGTCAAAAAGTAGACTTCCCCCTGGAGTCCCTGTAGAAGCTTGGTCTGATGACAGCCTGCTCTTGACCCCTGAAACTAGAGCTGGACTTGTGGCCTCCAGAACTATAGGAGAATATATTTCTGTTGCTTTAAGCCACCAAAGTTTTGGTAATTATTAGCCCAATAATTCTAATAAAAATGGAGCTTAGGGTAAGTCCAGCCTAAAGGTAGTATGATGATTTGCTCTCTCCACCTTCAATTCTCCAGTGTTACACATAATTGGTTAGAAGAAGATTTTTATGATGGAAACATTGTACAGGAAACCCCACAGTGTATACAGGGGCATCTGTTAGTTACAGAATAAATATTGACAATTCTTAGTTGAAAATGACATCTGAGGCTGGGTTTGGTGGCTCACACCTGTAATCCCAGCACTTTGGGAGGCCAAGGTGGCTGTTCATGAGGTCGGGAGATTGAGAACATCTTGCCTAACATGATGAAACCCCGTCTCTACTAAAAAATACAAAAGATTTGCTGGACCTGGTGGCATGTGCCTGTAGTCCAAGCTACTTGGGAGGTTGAGACAGGAAAATCCCTTAAACTTGGGAGGTGGAGGTTGCAGTGAGCTGAGACCCCACCACTGCACTCATGCCTGGGCAAGAGAGCAAGAACCTGCCTGAAAAAAACTAAAACAAAAAAGCAAAAAGCAAAAAACAAAAAACAAAAACAAAACAACAACAACATAAAAACACCAAACCAGGACTTGAACTCAGCTCTGGACCAAGTGGACCTAATAGACATATACAGAATTCTCCTCCCCAAATCAACAAAATATACATTCTTCTCAGCAGCATGTCACACTTATTCTAAAATTGACCACAGATGCCTTATGTAAACGACGAGTTGATGGGTACAGCAAACCCATGTGGCACATGTACACCTATGTAACAAACTTACAAGTTGTGCACATGTACCCCAGAACTTAAAGTATAATAATACAAAAAAAAATGACATTTGACTAGTAGTATCTCCTATAGAATCTTCATTGTAAGATACTCAAGATGCATAAAAGAGGCCCTAAGTATTCTTTTCATACATACATACATACAGGTGCATTTCCTGGTGTATCAACTAGAGAAACCCTCAGGGCAGCCCTTGATACCCCTAGTGATCCGTTTCACAGATGAGTAAACTGTCCATCAGAGCCCATAGTTGAAACAGTTCAACAGAGGTGGTTTGCACAAAGATATATGGTCAGCAGTTGTCAGGGCTGAGCTTGGAACCCAGGTCTGCATAACCCTATATATGTTGCTTCCACATAGCCACATTTGTTTCACAGAGGATTGAATGGCCTTTAAATTCAGAGAAGAGACAAAGCCAGAAGGGTGGTGTGAAATTCTCGACACAAGCTCCCTGCTACTTCTGCACCTTGCCATGATTACCCCAATTGTAAACTCAGGGCCTAATGCAGTTTTGTCTACAAAGCAAAACTTCCAAAGTCTTTATAAATATTAAATGTCTTTCTTTAAGATTTGAGGGCAGGGGCACAACTTGCATTGCCCTGAACACTTTGCATCTTGTCTACCATCCTCATCTCTCTGACCAGTCCTTCCCTCTCAGACTGTGTCTTGTAAATCTGACTTCTCCTCCTCATGTGAAAACAAATGAATAAATATTCCCTGACTTTTCTCATATTCAGAGCATACAAGAGTTAATCACATACCCAGAGAGTATGAGAGTTAATCAAAGGATTTATCCAAGAGCATTTAAACATAACAAGGATTCTGCTAGCCATCTTCACAGTGAAATTTTCTGTGTGTCTTGTTAAAACTGACACTACAAAATGACAAGATAAAAATATTTGGAAGAACAGAGGGCGACCATGCCCTTAAGGAGGTAAAAGACACCCCTGCCCCCCTTGCGTTAGTTTCCTACACCTGCTGTAACAAGTTACCAGAATCTTACTGGCTTCACACAACACAAATTTATTATCATACAGTTCTGGCAGTGAGAAGTCTCAGATTTAAAATCAAGGTATCGGTAGTGCTATATTCCTTCTGGAAGCTCCAGGGGAGAGAATCTGATTCTCAGCTTTTCATCTTCAAAGATAGCCCCATGTTCCGGGCTGCCTGGACCCTTTCTCCATCACTGAAGCATCCCTCTCCATTGTCTCCGTTCCTCTCTGATTGTTACCCCCACTTGTCCCTATTATAAAGACCTTTGTGATGATGCTGTCTTTCCCAGATAATTCAGGTGTTTCCTAAATTTTCTGAATATCCCTATGCATAAAAAAAAAAAAAAGAATTGGCAAGTATTGAGACTCTACTGTCCAAGAACGAGGGTTTGTCCACTGTCTAAGGTTGGATCTTTCAGGGGCAATGATGCCCATGCAGGCAGCGTATTTACAATGCACAGGAAATACTGGGAGGAAACAAGGCAGTGACAGAGGAAAGAGAATAGCGATACCAAAAATGTCCTCAGTGAGAAGCTACCACTGAGGATGAATAGAGACAAAGCCCAGGTGGAAACTTGGGAAAATGTCTTGGTATCATACTACCTAAGAAGGGAGGGAGTTGGGGTATGTATAGATCTCCCCTGTCCTCACTGATTGAGGGCTTTCCTAGAGGATGCTCATTCCAGGTGCTGTGATAGGCCATGTGTGCAGGCAGGGCTGCCTTCTACAGCTTCAGATAGAGCAGTGAGGAAAAGACATGGCCATGGGGCATCAGCAGAAGTACAGTGAAGGGAAAAGGGAAAGGGTTGTAAGAGTGACAGTTATATTCACCCTTCCATACACACACTCACAAAATTGTGTATTGCAATCCAGAACTGCTTTTCTCTGAACCTAAATCTTAGCAAGCAGTTTACCAGTAACTTCCCTTGAACTTCGGGTCTCGGAAAGCAGCAGGAGAACTGTGTACAGGTTATAACACTGTGGTCTGGCCACCTTTAGTGATGCATGAGTAATCCTCCCTGGACTCCCCAGGCTCTAGCATTCTCATGTCGATGTAGTTGATTCCAGTTTCCTTGCTGCACAACCAGGCTGGGATGCCTGGGCAGGGGCAGACATGTGAGGTATAGCGGTTCAAATCTGTTTCCAAGTTTTATCCAGATTCAAAGCATTTCTCCATGTACATGGGCGGTGGCTTGGCAGGAGATGGAGACTCTCTTTCCTGGATGTGAGGCAAGGAGGCTGGCATCTGAGTCAGGATGCTGTCCCCACTCACTGCTAAAGAGTCAAAGAGAAAAGTGGCATTGATGGTGCAGGGCAGCCTACTGAGTAGTTGCCACCCTCAGAAGAGAAAGTGTTCATTGACCTGGCCTTTCCCCAGGGCCTCTCCCTCCCCTGCTTTCCAGAAAGCCAGGTTTTTTGAGAGCTGTACCTGAACACTCGTGCATATTCTGGTGGGAAAGGCAGCTCAGGGCATTAGGCAAGATACATTACCTTGGTCTTCTTCCTTTGAAGGCAATTGATGTTGGGGTGTAGATTGACCCAGAGTTTCAAGTTTGTCCTGATTCAGGCTTCAACAGTTGGAGGAAGAAACAGAGATGTTGTCTGAAGTAAACAGATCTAGCATTACTAGACAACCCTTCACACTGATGACCTATGGGAAATAATACCCAAGGGCAGAAAAGTGGGTAGAATAAGGGGAGCCGCAAACCAAGACAAAGCTGCTGCCCAGTGAGACCCTGGGTGCTAAAGAGACCTATAGCTCAAGATCATGGAAGATCCGTGAGTGGCACAGACACTGAGGAATCATAGCATTATTATTGTGCATCTGCAGGAATTTTCTTGAAAACATACTGGTAATAACGAATGTTTAAGGTCACTACAAATATTTTGGAGTGTATTAAATATGCTTCTGATAAAGACTGTTTTTCTCACATGAAACAATGGGAACCAGGTGACAATCACAGAGGAGTTGTTAGTATAGCAAAAGGGATTGTTAACCTCTGCATCCATTTAAGTAACTTGAAAACCTGATAGATGCACCCTCTAAGACTTTATTAGATGTTCCCTGCAAGTGGTTATACTCTCCTGTATACTCCCAATACAAGTATAAAATATATTATTCCATGTAGTCCTTAGGTTTGTATTAAAGTTTGACTTTTTTTCCCCCAGAATATCTCTTGTCACACCAGTGGCTCCAGAGAGAAATACATTCCATCCAGGCAAATTTATGCTGTCCTGGTATGACCTGGGACCCTGGGGACATTGCCCCTGTGCTGAATTACTGAGATCTGCCAGCCTTGCAGCTGTGCCCAGCCTGCCCCATCCCCTGCTGATTTGCATGTTCCCAGAGCACAGCCTCCTGCCCTGAAGACTTTTTAATAGGCTGGTCACACCCTGTGCAGGAGTCAGTCCCAGTCAGGACACAGCATAGACATGAGGGTCCCCACTCAGCTCCTGGGGCTCCTGCTGCTCTGGCTCCCAGGTAAGGAAGGAAAACACTAGGAATTTACTCCGTCAATGTGCTCAGTTCTGGCTGAAACTTCAGGGAAGTCCTCGGGTAACATGATTAATATTAAGAATATTTGTTTTTATGTTTCCAACCTCAGGTGCCAGATGTGACATCCAGCTGACCCAGTCTCCATCCTCCCTGTCTGCATCTGTAGGAGACAGAGTCACCATCACTTGCCAGGCGAGTCAGGGCATTAGCAATAATTTAGCCTGGTATCAACAGAAACCGGGGAAAGTTCCTAAGCTCCTGATCTATAAGGCATCCACTTTGCAAAGTGGGGTCCCATCAAGGTTCAGTGGCAGTGGATCTGGGACAGATTTCACTCTCACCATCAGCAGCCTGCAGCCTGAAGATTTTGCAACTTATTACTGTCAGCATGGTTATGGTATCCCCCACAGTGTTACAAGTCATAACATAAACCCCCAAGGAAGCAGATGTGTGAGGCTGAGCCACCCCAGATGCTCTTCCTGGTGCCTCCATCTGCTGAGAGCATTTCACAAATTCAGTCAGGTTTTGAAAGTCATTGGGAGACTTTTGTAGAGGGGTTCAGGGAGGCTCCTTTGAACTCTAAGTCTCCTTGCCCTCATCGCCAGCAGAAAGATGTGACAATGCCTGTCCTGATTGAATAAGGAAGAGAGATAAGTCCACCTGAGGAGTCTATGTTATGGGATAATTGGAATTCATACAGCAAAAGAGAAGCTATTCTTGGTATTTCAAGGAGAAATTGTTCAAGTTGAATAAATTAGTCTAAACCACAGTCTTTTCGAAGCCTATTGTATGTTATTCATGAAGCAGTCACTAGACAGGGGATTCTCAGATGCTCCTGCAGAAGTCAGAGTTCACCTGCTCCTGGTAGTATGTGCTGAGTACCCGCGTGATGATCCTCAGACCTGTCTGGTAAGCCCCGGACTGAGGATGTTGATGCTCTCAACTGCCTGCAACACATCTCCAGGTGATTCTCCAGTCTACACACAACTCCACGTGTTTTACTTCGGGTATCAGTGTACATGAATCCACCACTCTGACTTCCCAATCTCATGGGACAGCCTCTCATTAAGCACCTCTAAAGAAACCATAGAGAGAAAAGGCGTTTTGGAAAATGTGCTTCCAGAAGTGATAGTAGTGATGGGGAATTGACAGCTGACAGGTCAGTAAGGTTACTCTTTCCACAAGGCTCAAAACTTTGCCAGTTACAGATTGTCCCAGAATACACTCGAATGTGCTTTCAAGTCTTACCAGCAAGTCTGGATTCATGGCAACAAAACTTCATTAAGCCACAGATGAAACAGAAAAACCAGGAAACTGTATGAAATAAAGTGTAAGACTCTGTGTGGTAGCTCATGCCTGTAATCCCCAGCACTTTGAGAAGCTAAGGCAGGAGAATTGCATCATCCTAGGAGTTTGAGATTAGACTGGGTAACATAGGAAGACTCTTTCTCTACAAAACAAAACAAAACGAAACAAAAAGATAAGTAAATAGATAGTTATAACAATCATTTGGCAACCTTTTTCCTTGACAAAAAGGAAAACAACAAGAGAAATCCTAAACATGGATATAGCACTTTTCCCCTTAATATGAAAGTCCTTTGCTACTCAAAATTATCCACAACCCAGCAGCACCTCAGCAATACTGAGAGGGTGTTTTGTATGAAACATTGCATGCCCACCTCAAATTACCTGACAGACAATCTTCCTTTTAACATGGTAACAGGTGATCTATACAAAGCTTAACAAGGTATGTTTTAGGTGATATTTTCACTAAAGAGATGTATGTTTTTCTCAATGAGGACATTTAAGAAAATTTCAATGGAGGCTCACATGTTGAAACCACACCCAGCTTTACTTTCCAATTGATGCAACATTGCATTTGAAATCATTTTGAAGATTTCAAAGGTTGAAAATCATAGTTATATACCCATGGAATAAACAAATAATGTTTAACTGGAGTAAAAGTTTTTAGAAACTTTAATGATTACCAAGTGAAAGAATCAATTAAAGTTGTGTGTACCTATGTTAGAGATTCTTGGACTATTATAATTGTATCAGGTCAGTTTGGTTTGGGATGTTGTCTACTCCTGAGATCTGCCACGAGAATCTTCTGCCATGAGTAGTCAGTGTTCTTCAGCCTTGGCCTCAGATAAATGCAATCCATAGGCTAGAGACAAGCTCAGTTCCCTGCAGCCAAACCAACCAGCTGATCTCTGCCTTGATCAGCCAATTGATTTGCTGTTACCTGAGCTTGTCTGTCTCCTGCTCAGTTCCTACCATTTAAAACTTGGTGGGCAGATGAAGCTTCCATTCAGGCTACTCACAATGCCTGGGTCCAACCACAAATTAATATAACTGCAGATTAACTGTTGGGCATCAGTAGCTGGACTGGTTTAGGTGCACAAGTTGTTATGCAGGATGATGCCATAGAGCAGCTTAGAGGAGTGTGCATTAGAGCTTGGGAAAAAAAATCACTTCAGGAGGAGGACAATACCCTTCCTAATACCCTAATTCTCTTTGGCAAATGGATTTCACTCACACATGTTTCCTCATTTGGGAGACTAGCTTATGTACATGTATGTGTGGACACCTTTTCTCACTTTGTCTGGGCTACATGCCAATCAGGAGGGTCTCCTTCCTGTGTTAAATGTCACCTTTTGCAATGTTTTGCAGTGATGGGCATTCCAGCTTCTATTAAAACAGATAATGCCCCAGGCTATAGTAGCCAAGCTCTAGCTACTTTTTTCTCTATATGGAATATTAAACATATTACTGGTATCCCATATAATTCTCAAGGACAAGGCATAGTGGAAAGAATAAATCTCTCCCTGAAACAGCCATTGCAAAACCAAAAGGGGAGAAATAGGGACTATGGGACCCCACATATGCAATTGAATCTAGCATTATTGACTTTAAATTTTTTGAGCCTGCCTAAAGGCCAGATGCTATCAGCAGCTGAACAGAATCTACATAAACCAGCTGCAAAGACAGAAGTAGAATAACTGGTTTGGAGGAGATATCTGATAACAAAAAGTTGGGAAATAAGTAAAATAATAACATGGAGTAGAGATTATGCTTGTGGTTCTCCAGGTCAAAACCAGCATATGATTTGGATACCATCAAGACACCTGAAACCTAATCATGAGCCAGATGCCAAAGAAGAGATTCTGGGAGGAACCTGAGGACACCCCAGTTTCAGTCACGTTAAGACTGACACTAAGGAGGACCCCAACTGTCACGAGCAACACCGGTTGAACACAGCCACCTACCTGGGGACAGATCAAGAAACTGTCACAGATGATGGGGAAAACCTGAGCAAAGCGAAACAACCAGTCACAATGAGTAATTTAATGATAGGTATGGTAGCGATTATCACCACTGCCATGAGTATTCCTTCAGTAAGGGCTGGCACAGAGAACAATTACACTTATTGGGCATATTTATCTTATCCACCACTTCTACGGCCTGTAACTTGGCTGGACCCCATATGCAATGGACGTATACACTAATGATAGCTCTTGGATGCGTGATCCTACAGATGATAGAGGCACATCTCACCCACATGAGGATGGAACTGTTATGAATATTTCTTTAGGATTTGAACATCCACCTATCTGTTTGGGGAAGGCCACTAGTTGCCTACCCCCTCAATATCAATCTTGCCTGATGATAATGCCTGGATGTAATCACTCTATGACACAGTTATACATGCTTTCTGATCTCAGGGTTTACCAAAATAAATCTGCTCCTATAATTGAGGCATACTGCCCCCAAAAACCTATTTGTAAACAGGATTGGACCTGGTCAGAAAAAAATGAATGTACTTGTTTGGGAAGATTGCAACGCAGAACAGTCCGAGGTGCGCGCAATGATTCCTATGGGATCATTATTGATTGGTCCCCTAAGGGGATGTTTAGCTTGAATTGCACTTCTCAGTCTGTGTGCCACGGCCACACTATGTTCAGCTGGTCTGAAGGAAACAGTCATATGGTGGATAGTTGTATTACGTTAGGGGTAGCTATGACCTTACTACTGTCTGTATTTTAAGATTATGTATTATCTCAGGAGATATGTATGTGTTCAAGTTGGCAAGGGGTGTGCTTGTGAAGGTTAATACTGAGTGTTAACTTGATTGGATTGATGGATGTAAAGTGTTGATCCTGGGTTTGTCTGTGAGGGTGTTGCCAAAAATGATTATCATTTGAGTCAGTGGGCTGGGAAAGGCAACCCACCATTAATCTGTGTGGGCACAATCCAATCACCTGCCAACACAGCTGGACTATAAGCAGGCAGAAAAATGTGAAAAGAGACGGGCCTACCCTCCCAGCCTACATCTTTCTCCTGTGCTGGATGCTTCCTGCTCTCGAACATGGATTCCTAGTTCTTCAGTTTTGGAACTCTGGCTGGCTCTTCTTGCTCCTCAGCCGGCAGACGGCCTATTGTGAGACCTTTTGATTGTTAGAGTTACTACTTAATAAACTTCCTGTTTTAGCAAGTGACACATAGAGGGACAGAACTAACAGGATATATATATGTGTGTGTGTATATATATATGTGTGTGTATATATACATGCACACATACATATACATACACACACAAGCACACACCCCTACGTGTGTGTGTGTGTGTATATATGTATATGTATATAGGAGTTTATTAAGTATTAACTTACAGGATCATAAGTTCCACAATGAGCTGTCTGCAAACTGATGAGAACAGAGAGCCAGTCTGAGTCCCAAACTGAAGAACTTGGAGTCTGACATTCGAGGGCAGGAAGCATCCAGCATGGGAGAAATACGTAGGCTGGGAGGCTAGGCCAGTCTCTCTTTTTCACATTTTTCTGCCTGCTTTACATTTGCTGGCAGCTGATTAAATTGTGCCCACCAGATTAAGGGTGGACCTGCCTTCCCCAGTCCACTGATTCAAATGTTAATCTCTTTGGGTAACACCCTCACAGGCACACCCAGGATCAATACTCTGTATCCCTCAATCCTGTCAAGTTGACACTCAGTATTAATCATCACACTCCCCGTCATATATATATACACACATACATGTATACATATGTGTGTGTGTGTGTATATATATATATATCTTTATTTCTGTCACTCTAGAGAACCCTGACTAATACATCTACACTTTTGATGACCTATTTCTTTTATTTTAGTTCATTTGTTTCCCATGAGTTTCTTACACTGTCTTCTTCCCACTCCCCTATGAAGGATATATAAGCCTCTGGACCTCACTGGGTGAGGGCATGTCCCTGCCTTGCACTATCATTGACACTTTCCTCTTACTCTTTAGCAAAGAGGGAACATCATCCTTAGCCAGATGCCAGCCTCCTGTCTCACATCCACGACAGAGAGTCTCCATCTCCTATCCAGCAAATACCCATGTATGTGGGCATGGTGGCACGTCCAAGTGATCCCAGCTACTCCGTAGGCTGAGGTGGGAGAATCACTTGCACTGGAGAATTCAAGGTTGCCATGAGCCGTGATTATAGTACTGCACTTCATGCTGGGTAACTGAGTGAGACCCTGTGATTTTTCCCCTGCATTTTGCACAATTTTTTTTGCCTCTTTCTTCTATTAATTTGTGTTTTGTCCATTCATTTTCTGCAAACCTTTAGAGGGCAAATAGGAAGTTTCCCTTTTTCCCTCTAAATGAATAAGTTTCTCAAAATTCAGGTCCCTGAATAGGCAACAGGAGGGTGTGTGCAGGGGCTCTGCCACAGTGATTTGACCACTCCTAGTCGGGCATCAGTAATACTCCCCAGAACCCCAGGCTGAAGCCCACTGATGCTGATGAAGGATATATAAGCCTCTGGACCTCACTGGGTGAGGTTCAATCCACTTCCTCTGCTACTGCACCAGGCTGAGATGCCTTGGCCCCTGTTAAAGGTGTGAGATACAATGGGTGCAAATCTGTGTTCAGTTTTATCCAAATCCAAGTACTTTCCTACTTTTTCAGCTTCCTTGCTTTTCTATTTAACACTCATTGCTCACTCCGTAAGGCAGTTGAGACGGTATTCTCCACTAGTTACTCTCACAGGGAGCTGGTTGAGGACAATTAGTACTACCTTGGTTGTGAATGTCAAGTAGATTTTGTAATTTCATATCAGATGCAGGATGCTAATACTAAATTTTTTTATTATAATTGTCTCTCGCTGATGGAAAAAGTTAGTTCTTGAAATTCCAAAAGTTGGTTTTCAAAGTTAAAAGCAAATCCTGAAAGAGGTATTATACTGAAGATGTAGTATTTTCCATGAATCACTGGGAAAATAAAGGATGATATAAACTTTTTATTCCCCATAGTGCAGAATTCAAGATTGGGCAGACTGCAGGAATGGGAGCATGAGGGGAATACAGGAGAGGTCAGCTATTGTTTAGTTAAACTGCCTTGGCTTATGGTGGGTGGGGATGTGGATAGTGGTGGGCTTGGCAGTTAATTTGGACCCACAAAGGAGCCATATGTGATACCGGTGAAGAACCACAGAGTTGAAGGCACTGCTGCGTGGCTTCCTGGGTGAAACCTGTGCCACTGGGAGTCTCACAGGAAAGTAATGTTGTGAGTAGGGCTTTAGGTCTGTAATCACCAAAGGTTTAGTGAAGACCCTGTGCAAGGAGACCTGAGGTCATGTCACTCAGTCCTAAGTCAAATCACAACAGCCAAGCAGTGCTTCTGAAACTCATTCTGCCCCTAGAGGAGGTTTAGCAGAGACCACTGGTTGGGTCTGGAGATGTCACAAGCACTGATATGCTGAGCAGAAGGCCAGGCAGGGTCTACACCTGCAGGGATGGAGATCGATATTCACAATTCAGACATGTATTCAGTATGCTCTGTTCAGCTTTGGGGATTTGGAAGAACATGCTGACTCTGTGGAAGTTTTATGTTCTTCTAGACCATCTCCTCCAGCCCGCCTGAGTCAGACCTCAGCCTACGCCCCACAGAGGACATACGCCATATATAGAGGTTGCCCTGCACAACCCCTGAAGGTCAACCTGATTCTCTGTTCCCAGGAGAGTCCCTCCGCTTGTGCCAGGAGAGATCTTGTGTCCACATGCAAACTTGGCAGATATGTCAGGAGGACAAAGAGTCAGGCCAACGGCAGCTAAACTCTAGAAGGGGTGCTTTTCAGTTTGGAATTTTAGGTCACTTAGTTCTTATTTCTTCTCCTGTTCTCTGCTGTTACTAATATAAACTTTTGTATTGTTTTATCACCAGGTTCTTGCAGTGGTTTCAATTCCTTTCAACTCCTACATTGTTGCCCTAGAATAGGAAGATTCCCTTTGAAACTTACTAGTCATTTAGAAATGACAATTTGGGTACCAAATTATCACAAAAAATAAAAGGTTTTGAAATAATCATATGTATAATTTTTAGATGATAGGGTCAATACCTGAAAATAAATCTGACTCCAATATTCTAACAGTGATGGGATGGAAAAAGTATGTTTTGCATGGTGTCACTTAAAATAATTATTCAAAAATATTTATGAACAAATCATGGGCAAATCAGTTTCATTTCATGAGGTGTTATAATCAACATATAGAATTTTTTGTATGAATAGGACAAAATACTTTTTTTCTGGTTAAAATAATCAACCCCATCAGAAATGATTCTCTTCTGGAATGATCCACATCATGGTAAATGAAGTTAAAACTGTATTCCCCAGGAGAAATATCAAAAATAAATAAATAATGAAAGCATGGTATACAGGAAATTATCTATCACAAACAAAGACAGACAAGTCTTCAGAGGACTTTTCTACACATATTCATGTGTGAGAACACGCATCGAACCAGAAGTACGTTGATTTCACTTCCACAATCAGCAGTGTGGAGACTAAAGATAGTACAATTAAAATT